CCTCAACGTCTTCTCAACCTCCCTGACCAGGCCAAATAGCCCTGCTACTGTCCTCTCAGTCCCTCCTGCTGGGTATTCCTGGTCACTATAACTTCACCTTTTTTTTTTAAATATATAATATATATATATATCTATAGACTCCGGTGGGCTCCCCTTAGAGGCGGTTGGTCCACAGGGTGGGATCATGTCTTTCTTGATGAACCATGTGTGGTGCCTAACCGGTACTTAATAAATGGTGCCGAGTGAATGAACCTCTGGAGTCCCCAGGTCTTTCTATAATAGATTTTTCCCCTTGGAAATCTCTAAGTCAGTTCTCCTTTCAACTCAACTTCCCCGTGCCCATCCACATCAGAGTCGGGGTAGGATGTGTAGACCTCTGAGAAGGCAGGACTGGCTGAACCGGCGCAGTGGGGGCCAGCTAGGCCCAGATGCACCCTCAGAACCTTCTCTCCACCCGCCCCCAGCTCTGGGTGGACACAGGTCCGGCTGAGCGTGTTCCTCTGATCTGGAATTCCCTTCCCAACCACGTCCACATGGGGTCATCTCCAGTGGAAACTGAACCCAACCCAAGAAACCAAATCCAAGCAACAACCCCTATTTGCGGTTACCCTATGTCTGATCTGATTAAACTCCTTGGTGCCCTTACGCAGCAAGGACCCTGGGTCTGACTTTTTTTTTTTAAATATATTTTATTGATATTTTACAGAGAGGAAGGGAGAGAGATAGTCAGAAACATTGATGAGAGAGAAACATCAACCAGCTGCCTCTTGCACATCCCCCACTGGGGATGTACCCGCAACCAATGTACGTGCCCTTGACCAGAATCGAACCCGGGACCTTTCAGTCCGCAGGCCGATGCTCTATCCACTGAGCCAAACCGGCTTTGGCTGGAATCTGACTTTTGGGAAACTCCCCTGAGAAGACAACCCCACATGTGGAAAACCTCATACCCAGCATTGTATTCCTCTTACCAGCAAACCACAGAAAACAACAACAATAACCAGCACCAGGGACTCTCTGGGGAGCCTGGCAAAGGGTGAATATATGTTGAGTGAATCAAGCACCAGCCAAGTGTGTCCCCTTGTGAAGAGATAAGTAAGGAGCCCCCTGCACCTTCCGGTGGCCTCCTCTCATCCCTGAGGCACTGTGTTGGGGTAAGAGCACCACCATCCAAGGAGTCAGGAGGCCACCGTCCCAGCTCTGCCACTAACTCGCTGTGTGTTCTCGGGAAGCCACTCAGCTTCTGTCTCCTCCGAGGTCAGAGGGGAGGAGTTGGTCTGGATGAGCTGATCTCTAACGTCTTTCATCCTATAAACCCAGGGCAGGCTGCTCACTTCACTTTCTAAGCATCTTTCAAAATATATTTTAAAAAGTCATGCTTACACTATAATGTAGTCTATTAAGTGTGCAATAGTGTTATGTCTAAAAAACACACACCAATGTATATAACTTAATGAAAAAGACTTTATTGCTAAAAATGCTAACCATCATTTCAGCCTTCAGAAGGTCATAATCTTTTTGCTGTTGGGGGTTTTGCCCTCACTTTGTAAAAAAAAACCAATATTTGTGAAGTGCAATAATACGAAATATGCCTGTCATGGACAGGTATCTCTTTCATTTTAAAATTATTGTGTAAGTTACACACTTTGTTGTAAAAATAGGTTACGAACTTTTTTGTAAAGATAAGAAGTGAAATAACACAGCAGTATGTACAGTAAGTACAAATCCCTCCTCCTACCTCATGTTCACAGGCAGCTACTAGTAACTGGTTGGAGAATTTATACTCAGAAGAGACCCCACATGTTTACACCAACTGCAATGAACTCCCCACCTTTCCGGGTCTACAGCATGCTGACCGCTCCTCCCCCTGCCAACTTTCTATCAACATTCCAGGGAGCTCTCTCTTCAGGGTGGCTCTCAAATCAGACTGTCTGGTTTAAACCCCAGCTCTGCCACTTACCCCACTTCAAAAAAAAAAAAAAAAAATATATATATATATATATATATATTTTATTGATTTCAGAGAGGAAAGGAGAGGGAGAGAGATAGGAACATCAACGATGAGAGAGAATCATTGATTGGCTGCCTCCTGCACGCCCCACACTGGGGATCCAGCCCACAACCCAGGCATATGCCCTGACTGGGAATCAAACTGTGACCTCCCGGTTCATAGGTCAACGCTCAACCACTGAGCCACGTCAGCCAGGTGTTACCCCACTTCTGTATGCCTCAGTGTCTTCCATTGCAAAGTGGGGGTAACGTGTGGCTCGGGTGGGAGTGCTCTTGTGCAGAGTGCTCAGAATGGTGCCCAGGCAAAGGAGCGCAAAGGAGCGCCTCGCAGGTGTCAGCAACTTTATCCTTTTTTTAAAAAAAATAATATTTTATTGATTTTTTACAGAGAGGAAGGGAGAGGGATAGAGAGTTAGAAACATCGATGAGAGAGAAACGTCAACCAGCTGTTTCCTGCACACCCCCTACTGGGGATGTGCCCGCAACCAATGTACATGCCCTTGACCAGAATCAAACCCGGGACCTTTCAGTCCGCAGACCGACGCTCTATCCACTAAGCTAAACCGGTTTCAGCCCAACTTTATCCTTAATCAAGTAAGAAACCAATAAAGCATCATTGAGCACCTGCTCTGTGCTGGGCATTGGGTGAATCAGAGGTTAGGCACTGACTCCTTATGCCTTCTGGAAGCTGACAGCGGTGTTGGGGGCACATGTGCACACACCAGATAATAATAATAATAATAATAATAATAATAAGAAGAAGAAGAAGAAGAAGAAGAAGCAACAACAGCTCTGAGAGACTGCAGCTCTCCACAGTTCTTGAAACTATCAACATGTGTTCTCTCATCCAAGTCTTAGGATGGCCCTGTGCAGACATCAAAGCCAGCACCGGGGAGCAGAAGCCGAGGCTCAGAGGGTTAGATGCCCAGCCTCGAGGCACACAGGTAAGAAGGCTAAGCTAGGACTCAAACCCAGGCCAGCTGGATCCACAACTCCCCAAAGATCCCCCAGAGAGCAGTAACCATCCAGGGTTAACCCGAACGAGGCTAAGGGACCCGAGAGGCTGGGGAAGGGACAGTGCGGCGGGGACTGCTGGAGCCAACTGGGCAGGCCACGTGGGGCTGGGGACACAGCTCTGATTATTCCCACGAGCTCTGATTCATCTCCACAGCCAGGCCATAGTGTCCTGGAGGGGCCGGCCCATGCCCCCGCCTTGACGTGCCGCCACCTTGCCCAACTTGGCCGGGACTGGACACACTCCCTGGCTGGCATTCACCTTGTCACTCCTCTCCCTACAGTGTCCATGACCACCTGCCTGTAGGGGCAGGGAGCGATGGACAGCGCTGTCACCTGGGGACCAGGAGGCAGCTGAGGGGAGGCAAAGCTGTGCTCCGGGCCAGAGGCGAGCCTGGAGGTAGAGTGGATTGAACCCACAGACCTGGATCCAGTTCAGCCTCAGGCTCTGACTTCCTCGGAGTCCTTGGGCAAGCCTCCTGCCTCCCTGAATCTCAGCCTTCTCGTGTAGGGAATGGGTAGATGGATCCCCACGCCCAGGGTGGCTATGAGAGCTAAATAGCTGGCACTGGGAAACTGCTTGAACAGAAAGGAGCGATCTAAGTGCCCGCTAGTACGAAGGAAGGCCTGACACTTGTTAAGCACCGGCTCAAGGAGGACAAACACCTGCCCAGGTGTTGCAGCAAGGAAGAGGTGGAGCTAGGATTTGAACCCAGGTCTCCCTAAGCCCACTGTATTCCCACTCACGGCAGGGGGGCCTTCAGGTAGGAGGGCAGTGCTTGTCCAGAGGCAGCGTGTGTCCTGCCAGGTGGAGTCAGTCTCAGACCTCAGCCTTGTTGTTACCCTGAAGCACTCATTCCAGCCTTTAGGCCTGGCCTCCTCCATCTGGTCCCCTCCCGCTGGTCCCCCCTTGCTCAGCTCAGGGCCTCAGGGGAGGTTTCCAGTCCTGATGATGCCATTAGAAACCCACAAGGGTCCCTGCCCCCCTGAGGGCCAGGCAGCCAGCAAGTCCCTGTCGGAAAAGGGGCTGGCGCCAGAGCCCAGCTGGGGCCTGGCTGGGGTGGGAGCCCCAGGGGAGGAAAAGGCATCAGCTCATCAGATGGAAAAATGGGGTATGTCTAGGCCTCCTTCTCCTCCTAGACTCTGGAGCAGTGATACCTCCTCATCCTCCTCTACAACGAAGGCCAGGATTATGGGGAAGGCACATCAGCCCTTCCCCACAACACTCACTGTCCACTTCTCTGAAATCCACTTCCAATTACCTAACGCCAGAGAGGGGGCAGGAAGTGGGATGACGGGGAGCACAGATCAGGGTCCTGGGTACTTACTTCAGCGGGATCCCCTTCCCCCAATGCCCCTGGCTGTACCTGGGCCATCATCCCAGGCTCCCCCTCCCGCAGCTGGGCCCAGGATCTCTGGGCTAAGACTGAGCCTTCTGCACCTGCACACACCTGTCAAAGGCGGTGCTTGTCCACATCCACAGAGGGCCCTGGCCAGGCAGGGCTGGGGGAGGGGCCTACGACTCCCTCCTTCCAGCACCAAGGTGTTCCGTTGCCTCAAGAAACTGGTCCCGCGGGACACCCAGTCTGTATGGCAGGCAGGCTTCGGACTGGACACATGCAAGCCTACCCGCCTCCTCTGAGATCTCAACCAGATCCCAGGCCACAAAGTGGGGGAGAAGGCAACCTCCGCGCCCCCTCCTCCGATTTCAGCTCAGAATCTCTAGCCTCGGACCTGGAATGGCGGAGGGAGCTGGCTGCACCACGGAGGCAGCGGCTATAAGTCTGGACTTGAGGCTGAGGGGGTTCTGGGAGCTCTTTCCGGGGTAGAGACCCCATTCCCAGGCCGCCCTCTCCTTCCCGGAGCTCCGGGGTGTGTGTGTGCGCTGGGGGCGGAGCGGGGTGGGGTGGCGGGTGGTGAGTCGGGGCAGATCAGTCTCGGCGGAAGGGCGGGGCGCAGAGGCCAGGGATTCTCACCTGAAATTGGGCGGCGACGCGATGTGGAGCCCCAGGAATGGGGAGGCGGCAGACGGGGTCGCGGCCCCCCCGCTCGGGCCGCCGCTCTCGCGCTCCGCCATTCCCCGGCGCAGCCCTGGCCATCCGGGCGGCGCACGGCGCGGAGGCGGCGGCGGCGGCGGCGGCGGAGGCAGCGGTGAGGAAGGAGGAGGGGGCGCGGCAAGAGGCGGCGGCGGCGGCGGCGGCGGCGGCGGCGGCGGCGGAGAGGAAGGAGGAGGGGGCGCGGCAAGAGGCCGCGGCGGCGGCGGCGGCGGCGGCGGCGGGGCTCGGGCTGGACCCCTGCGGCCCGACACCAGCGCGGGGCAGAGCGCGGTTCCGGGGGACCCCCCCGCTCTCCGGACGGGCGGGAGCGCCGCCGCCGCGCGCCCCCGGCTCTGCTTGGGGGTCTTGTGCGCCCGGCCCCGCCCGGCCCCGCCCGGCCCCGCCCACTCGCGCTCTCCATGGTGCTGAAGTCGTGGTCCCCGCAGTCCCCAGGGCTTGGCCCAGTTTCACCCTAAATCACACACGGACTTCTCTGTCTCCTGCCCCTTCAGCAAAGCGCCCCGCGCCTTTTCAGGCTCTGCTAATAGGAGGGGGTGGGCATAGCGCCCTGGTATCGAGTAACTAATTGGGGGACCAGAGACCCAGGGCCCCACTTGGCCCCCTGCAGCAGCCAAATAGGGCGGACTGGAAAGGCGGGCAGTGGAAGAAGACAAGGGTGAGAATGTGTCCGGAGTGCGCTCCTAGGACAGACAGGTCTGGAGTCTGACTCCCCCAAGTGAATAGGTGATGTGGTCTTGCATTAGTGATTTAACAATCCTAAGGTTTGCTTTTTTCATCTGGGAATGGGAACAATAGCGATTCCTCACGTGGTTGTTCTGGGGTTGAAACGTAATATCAATGTATTGTTACAGAGGCTGAAAAGAGCCCATCTCCTGTTGGGGTTCAGGTCACACCCCATCCTGTCCCCTTACCTTAAGGAGACCCTCCTAAGGACTCTACCTAGAGAGTCTTCTCTCTAAAGATTGACCCAAGCCCCATTTCAGCCCCACGCAGCTACTAATGGTGAACTAAACCCTTCCTCTTGGCTTCTGCCTCTCAGCTTCTCCTTTCCCATGTCCAGACTTTCCCAGATTTTTCCTTTTCTCAACATCTCAACTGTAGTTCCTGTAGAGCATCTCTCTTTTGTACCCACAGACACCCCATAGCTGGCTTATCATATCTTTTTTTAAAATTTATTTTTTATTGATTTCAGAGAGGATGGAAGAGGGAGAGAGAAATGTCAATGATGTGGGAGAATCAATTATCAGCTGCCTCCTGCATGCCCCTAAGTGGGGATCGAACTAGCAACATAGGCATGTGCCCTGACTGGTAATCAAACTGTGACTTCCTGGTTCATAGGTTAACGCTCAACCACTGAGCAATGATGGCCAGGCATGGCTTCTCACATTCTAAGACTCTGGGCCTTTCCTTTTACCGCCCCCCCCCCCCGCCCCCGGCACCGTTACCTTCTTTTGATTTTTTTGGTGGTTTTTTGTTTTTTTTTGTTGTTGTTGTTGTTGCTCCTTCCAGAACCTCTATCCATGTTAGGTTTAGGCTGTGATTTGTTTCTTTCTGGTCTTCCCTTCCCTAAGGCTAGTTCTGTAAGCTCTTTCACAGAGCATGGATTGCTGGACATGCAGGCTGCTGGCCAAGGCCAGGGCCCCAGCTTTGGTGGGTCATAGAGCTGCTAGCTAAACCTCACTGGCTTCTCTGGCCACTCCAGACAACCAGACAGGTCTTGTCCTTCACCCCTCCCTGAAGAAGGGACAGAGCAAACTGTTTCACAGCTTGTGGAACCCTATTTACAAACCTGGATTGCCAACTGGTTAACCACCCCCTTTTCCTTCATTGTAGCACCCAGAAGAGTTGCAGGCACCAGCCCTTTAGCAAACCCCCAGCTCCAGCCCCAAGAACAGATACTCCATGCATGGAGCCAGAGGCCTTGGTTTCCCTGCTCCAGGCCCAGAGGAATGGCCACTTTACCTTTCCTGCTCTCTTAGCCCAGACTCCTTTCACTGTGCCCAAATAGTAACCACCTACTGCTATGATGCCTGGCTTTTCCTCCCAGGAAAGCAATCTTACCATCACAGCTAATAATTGTTCCTTACAGTGTGTGTTTGTCTCAACTAGGGGTAACTCAGGTTAGGGGTGTGTGTGTGTGTGTGTGTGTGTGTGTGTGTGTGTGTAGGAAAACTCCAACTTTCGGAACATTTTGCTCAGGAACAAAGGTATCCCTTGTTCTTAACTCCTGAGGATAAGCCAAGGCCACATTAGATAGAAGCCAGAAATTGACAACAGCACAGTTTTGCTCAGACAGGATCAGACATTTATGAAACAAGTGAATGTTCACAAACTGTGGGAGAAACACACTTTCCCAGCAACAGAAATCTCTATATAAAGTGCATTTTGCCTGTGACTATTTCTTCCCCATGCTGGCCCTTGGATCGGGATTTGGGGCAACGCTCTACAACAGCCCCCAGGGACACCTGGGCCAGGAGAGGGGAGGCACAAAGCCAGCTCCAGACCACCCGATGCACCCTTTCCTCACCCCGCTCTGCCCAGCTTCTGGAGTAGACACCTCTATTCCACTGGGAATGGGCCAGCATACCAGGGGTGATGAAGTAGGGGTATATGGTCTGGCCAACTTATTACACCTTAGGGAAGAGAGCCAGTATCAAACAGGCGGGAGAGGGGGCTCATCCTGATATCTGAAGGTGCTGCTAAATAAATACTGACGTGGCCCCCAGCCCTCTGGCTTTCTCAGTTTCTCAGAGCAGCCCTTCCAGGCTTGCTCTAGTCCCCTTCTGGCAACAATCCCCAGTTCTCTTTCCTCCTGGCTGGGGCATAGGGAAAGGCTTCGAATACACGATATCACCCGTGCCCTGCTCTGCCACAGGATTACGGGACAGTTCTAGTGAGGGTGACATACATATGACAATTGGACTCCAGAGGCAGCTCTCCGGCTGAGCAAATCTCGTGCTGGACAGCTGACGGGGATGGGCCTGAGCCCAGGGTCTGGCCCCAGGACAGAGGACAGCGAGGGACGAGGCTAGGGCCCAGGGAGTTAACAGCTAGGAGGCTGGGGAAGGTCACAGGGAGGTAGAGGAGAAGGCCCAGAGGCCAGCTTAATGTTACATGTGAAAATAAAAATCCAGAGGAATTGGCTAAGAGTGCACTCACACACATACACACATGCACACACACACACACACACACACACATTCATACTTTGTGGCTCAAGTGCAGGCCACAGGGTGGAAGAAAGACTTGCTGCAATTGACTAGTCCTTCTTTCTATTATTTTTCTCAACACAGGCCTTCGACAGTGGGAGTTTGGGGTGGGAGGCACAGACCATTCCTGGAATGTAAGGACTTTGCTTCTCTGGGTCAAGCCTCCCGCCTGCTGCTTCTGGTGTGTTGATTGGTGTGCTGATTGGTGTGCTGGGTGGGCACTCTACTTAGATCTTAACTAACTGTGCCTGGCAGTCCCCATCCCAGTCCATCTGCCTGGGTCCTTGGCATCCAGCTCCTGGCAGGTCTAACATGGCAGCCTGCAGAGCAGACTGGATGGGTGTCAGCTGACCTCAGTGGCAGCACTGTGGTGCTCCGGAGTGTGGCCAGAGGGGTCAGGGACCTGGCCTCCTCTTGGTGGAGGCCCTGGGTCTCCATGGTCAGCCCTGAGGCTGGTTCTCAGCTTCCAGGGAAGGAGCAGTGAGCACTGGGTTACTATTTCTAACCTTAGGTTGGCAGCCCCACACAGTGGATGCACTTCCTTCCTAGGCTCTGTCTACAGTACTGAGCACATGGGTACTGGCGTGCTTCTGTATGACGGCAAGTTTACAGATCTGTCCACAGCCTTGTGCTTTGTCCTAGATGCCTGAGGAAGGGTCTGGAGGACCCAATGACAGGGAATTTAAAAAAAAGAAAGAAACCAGGCCAGGGGACTGTGTTCAGGGTCAGGAGGAACTCAGCAAAGCTCTGGCCGCCTCTAGAATCCCACGCTCTGTAGAAGAGCCAGAAATGTTGCCCTCCTACTCCTCAGTCTGATGTGAGGAGGGAGGGAAGAAGGGCTGGGGAAGGGGCAGATGCTGGAATCCCAGCTAGGGCCCTACTTATCTGTTTAGACAAGGCAGGGATTGGTGGTGGCTGAAAATTACAGCCCTGACCTCTAACCTGGTGTCTGAAGGCTGAGGTGAAGCTGCTACAGGTACCTCTCCAGCCCAGGCAGTGTTCAGAATCATAAGAGTGTAAACAGATGCATGCACACGCAAATAGGCACACCACTCCTTCCTCTGCACACGTGCGCGCACGCACACACAAATTTGCTGGATCGGTCGATGATCAGCTTTTCTGCCGGTTGCTCTCTGCTGCCATGGTGGCTGTTCGGGCACCTAGGCTTTGCTCGTGGAGCCACAGCGCTGCAGCTGAAAGAGAAAAACAAGCGCTAAAAGGAACATTCAGGAGGCTGCTCAGTTGCCCAGGGACACAAGCTCCTCTGTCTGCTGCTCTGGGGATGCTCAGACGGAGAACTAGGACAAGCGAACCATATGGGCCACAGAGCCCAGGGACAAGGTTGTTGCTGGGATGCCACTGGGTGCCTGAACACTTCCCCTCTGAGGAGGACAAGGAGGAGGAAGAGGAGAGGGAGGAAGACAAGGCCATGTGAGGATCATATGAGGTCTTTGGGATACTGCTCGAGGATGACAAGGGCAGTTTCTGAATTGAGGCGGAAGTGGCTGCTGCCAGAAATGGAGAGTCAGAAAAAAATGACTTGAAGAGAAGTCAGTCGATGACAGTGATTTTGAGGATGAAGGCAATGGCTGAGGTTAGGAATTTCCACATGTAGGTAACAGAACCCTGGTACTGTGCTAGAGGTTGAGGGGAGGAGAGAGGAGACACAAGGATGACTCATTTTAGAGAGTTATGACTTCGCTAGTCTGGGACAGAGGGAAGAAATGGCCTCAAGCTTTATAACAGAGGCCAGGTAAGCCTATCCTATGCTGGGCTACCTGTGTAAGTGTATGATGTGTCTGAGAGTGTGCAGACACTCAGTGTTCTGTGCACAGTGTAAGCGCTGGTGAGGCAGATAAGAAGGCTTACTGGGCCTATGGGGCAGGCCCTATACACTTGTGCTGCAGCTAAATGGTGTCTCCCCAAAATTCATGTTAAAGTCCTAACCTCAGAGTGTGACTGTTTTTGGAGACAGAATCTTTATAGAGGGAATTTAATAAAAATGAGGTGATTAGGGTGAGCCCTGACCTCATATGCCTGGTGTCTTTATAAGAAGAGGAGATTAGGACACAGGTACACACAGAGGGAAGGCCATGTGAAGACACAGGGAGGTGTCACCATCTACAAATGAAGGAGAGAGGCCTCTGAAAGAACTCACCCTGCTGGTCCCCTGCATCTAAGACTTTCAGTCTCCTGAACTGTGAGAGAATACATTTCTGTTGCTTAAGTCACCTAGTCTGTGGTACTTTGTTACGGCTGTCCAGGCAAACAACCCATTGACCCTGAGGATATGGCCTCCATTTTTATAGAGGAGATTGAAGCCAGAGAGGTAAGTAAATTGCCCAAGACTGCAGCATTCCGAGATGGCAGAGCCAAGGCAGGTAACCTAGGCCTGGATGACTCCAAATCTGTATGTTTACCACTTAGCAATCTCTAGAGTAGAGTACTATTATTAAGACTTTTATTTTTTTTATTTTTTAAAATATATTTTATTGATTTTTTACAGAGAGGAAGGGAGAGAGATAGAGAGCTAGAAATGTTGATGAGAGAGTAACATCGAACAGCAGCCTCTTGCACACCCCCTACCGGGGATATGCCCGCAACCAAGGTACATGCCCTTGACCGGAATCAAACTTGGGACCCTTCAGTCCGCAGACCGACGCTCTACTACTGAGCCAAACCGGTTTCGGCTATTATTAATACTTTTAGAGGAGCTCAGCCTACACACTCAGTGGTTGAGCATCGACCTATGAATCAGGTCCCAGTGTGATTCCCAGTTGGGGCACATGCCTGAGTTTCTGGATCAGTCTCCAGTAGAGGGCGTGCGGGAGGCAGCCAATCAATGATTCTCTCTCATCATTGATGTTTCTTTCTCTACCTCTTTCTTCTCTTTGAAATAAATAAAAATGTGTATTTAAAAAAAAAAAAGACTTTTAGAGGATAGAAAAAGAAGAAATCAACATGTTGGCATGAAGACTAGCATTCAAGCAACATACATGAAAATTTGAATGTTAACAGAAAAGGCAAAAAATGCTGTCAAGACTCAAAGACACTGAACTCAGAATTTAACATTAGTCTTCCAACACATGCAACCCTTTTAAGACAAATGTTAAATATGAATTTATTACAGAGAATTTCTCTGAAGCTGGTAGATTAAAGAGCAAATGTAGGAGTGGGTGCCTATATAGGTCAGTACTGAGTGCCTCATGCTTTAATATGTGTACTATTTTCAACAATTTTCCCTTTAAGCTTGTACGATAATAACTTAGTCATGTATTTTCACTACAAATAAATGCTACTAAAGTATATGTATGTTTATTGAAACATGCTGACTTGTATGCATTTCAGACACAGGTCTCTCTGGCCTCTGCTGTTAAGCCAGAGAGCTGGCTATTCTGCAACAAAAAGCTCCAGGAGAGTACACCACAACAGCTCTACCCCATACCTCCCCTTCCTGTGTTTTCTTTCCCTTCAGGCATGGGGGAGAAAAACAGCGCTTGAGGACTCCTAAGACAAGGGCTCTTACTCTGGGGATCCTTTTGGGGCCCGAAGAGAAGCTAAGGGCAGTCCCTGAAGACCCTGAACATCTGTGCACATTTTTTGTGTGAACAGGTGCAATTTTCTGGGGAGAGGCTCCATCCTTCATCAGACTCTCAAAGCATGGGTAACCCAGAAATGTTGAAGGACCGATGCCTAAGTTTAGAAGGTAAGGTGGTTAGATGCCCACAGGTGTCTATAATGACAGCAATTCAGACTTATGTAGACTCAGCCATGATTTAGTTATGGGACGGGCTCATAAGGGAGGTGGCAGTGTCCTGGCCTTAGATAAGCCCCAGGAACCCAAGTTCTTCTATGAGGGGGTTAAAACATACAAACATGGTAAACTGAGGCCTGAGAGAATCAGCTTGTCCTTGACTACAAAGCTAGTCCAAGGCCTGTTCAAGCAGTTACTCAAGGTGCAAGATCAGCAGACAACTAGATGGTCCCTGTGCTGTTGTTCTCAAGCTCTGACACTGGTTTGCAGATCGAGGGGGTGGGGAAACCAAATGAGGCCTTGTAGAAAAATGATGACAGCAGCATGGAAGGAAAGGGAAGAACAACCAGGGGGAGAGGCACCAGGGGGGAAATCAACTCATAAAACACACACTGAAAAAGCAATCTCCCGATTGCTCAACTCTCTCACTCTGTCATTAATACAAGAAACAGAAGCAGCTGGAACACAAACTAAGGACTGCCTCCCTCAGTGTGCCCACTGTTAGTTAGAATGGTCACCTGGGTACTTGGGGCCTCACACCCCTTCCTGTCCATTGGATGCTAACAAGAAACCCAAATTTGTAAGTCCATCCTTTCCCCATCCAAAGATGGAGGGGTGGGCATGCATGAGCTTATGCCAGCAAAGGATACCACCCTGGCTCAAGGACTGCAGGAAACTTTGGAGCCTATAACCAAGTCTCAGGTGTCAACCTCTCCCCTCCTACTGGTGAGTCACAGTGCCCAAGAACTTGAGTGGCAGAGAATTTGCCACCAACTCTCAAGTCAGGAGCAGGGAATAGAGAGGTACAGCTGAGTCTGGATGGGGCACAAAGCTGAGCTCTTAAGCTCAGTCTCATTCCTTATATCATGCACAATACAAATCATATGCCAAAAGGGAGGGCCCTCAGTCAGCAAACACTGAGTAAGTGCCAGGGAAAGTGCAAGGGAGAGTCCCAACTTCTTATCTCCAGGTTAAGATCTGAGAACCACAGAGTGAGGAAACTTGGGGGGTGGAGTGGGGTGCAGACACTTCTCAAGGTGAATGTGAGGCTGGGGCTTTTTTCCTAAATCCACACCACCTCTCCTTGTGTGTACTATTTTACAGAGTGCCCAATGCCTTTCACATACTTCATTCTATATAAGGAGGGATCTGCATAAACAAGTGTCAAAAAGACTATGAAGAGCCGAAACCGGTTTGGCTCAGTGGATAGAGGGTCAGCCTGCGGATTGAAAGGTCCCAGGTTCGATTCCGGGTTAGGACATGTACCTTGGTTGCGAGCACATCCCCAATAGGAGGTATGCAGGAGGCAGCTGATCGATGTTTCTAACTATTTCCTTTCCTCTCTGTAAAAACTCAATAAAATATATTAAAAATAAAAAATAAAAGACTATGAAGAGACTCCAGAAGTCAGGGTTTCCTCAGTGAAGTCCCAGGGCTAACCATCTCCGGTGAACTGCCGAAGGAGGAGGGGAGGGAGGAGGAAAGGTGATCCCTCACCATGAAGCTTTTGTATTGGATGGGACATCTCTCAACAGATCACTATGTACCAGCAGAAGACAAATGGATCATGTGAGCTGTTCCCCCTATGGTAAAACATTGGAGCAATAAGAAAACTCTGTACACAACTGAGGCTAATGGAATCCTGGCAGGCAGCAACTTTGGGGGTCACGGGGTGGCAGCTGAAATGACAGCTACTGGGAGGCTGGCTTAGTTTTTAGTGTGGTGAACATAGTGCAATAAAACTAAATGTAGCCGAAACTGGTTGGGCTCAGTGGATAGAGCATCGGTCTGCAGACTGAAAGGTCCCAGGTTCAATTCCGGTCAAGGGCATGTACATTGGTTGTGGGGCGCATCCCCAGTGGGGGTGTGCAGGAGGCAGCTGATCAATGTTTCTCTCTCATAGGTGTTTCTAGCTTTCTCTCTCTCCAACTCTCCCTTCCTCTCTGTAAAAAAATCAATAAAATATATATATATTTAAAAACAAAACTAAATGTAGAACAGACACTGGTGTGCGTCTGAAGTAGGCATGGGACCTACTGATATGAGGGCACGTTTTCCTACAGACCAGGTTACACTGTAAGTTACTGCCTGTTCAGTGAATGGCCACAGGCTGAGGCATTGGAATAGAACCATAAAACTATAGTGTGCACAGGTGACTATGGCCTCCAAAGGTCCAGGATGGAGCCTTCAGGCTGGTAAAGAATGATATTCACACCCCACAGCTTTACAAAGCATCTCAGAAAGATTACTAGACTAACCCAGGCACACAATTACTGACATAAAGGAGAGGGGACACGTCTCTCGCCTCTCAATCTAAAACTGTATCCACTTTGGCCATGAAACCACTGCTCTGCGACTCATTTAGCCCAGTGTGCTGGCTCTGACTGAAGAAACAGTAACACAGTCAAGGATACCCTGAGAAGCATGTGCACGATGATAATGGATTTCCTTTGTGTGGTGAATTTTACTTATTCGATGGCTTTTCACTTATGGTTTTTAATTTTATTTCCACATCGTGTTTTCTCAGTGGGTATGGCAGGTGACAAGATGCTCTTTTACAGACGAGGATGCTGCAGATCTTTAGGCCCAGGAGCCATCACAGATCTTTAGGCCCAGGAGCCAACACAAATGTACTCTTTTCTCTCAGGGCATCCAAAGAACACATGAGGCAAATCCAGTCTGTCTTATCCTTTGACCTCCTGGCCCCTACTTCCAACTAATTAGCCATGAGGAAGGCCAGAGCAAATCTAGAGGATTGGTCCTTAAGATGCCAATAGGCTGATGGACAATCTCCTGGACTACGAGGCAAGAAACAGGCACTGACCTCTACATCCCTGTAGTGTCACTGGGAATTGCTGCTACAACCTCTCAGCTGGCTTGCTCCAGTGCCTATTTCCTCTGTGGGTCCCAGCCTAATGCCTGGTCAATCTTCCAAAATTGCCAGTTTTGTCATTTCACTCTCCTTTTCCAAAAGCCTTTCGTTCCCAGAGAGCAAACCAAAGAGTCACCTGCCTGACATTTAAGGCACTATAACCTTATGTTCTTTTAAAATAATGATAACAATATCTATCATCATCATCATCGCTACCATTTCCTTCGCAACTCTTGTGTCTTATGCAACACTTCTGGCTGTGCACACTTCCTGGCTAAGAGAATATTCTGTTCAGTGGGTCATGGGCGTGGGCCTGGCAAAGACATGGATCATGGTTGGTCTACGTCAGTGAGTCTCAAAGTTCATCCCAGAACAGCATCATCAACTGCTGGAAACATGTCAGAAATGCAAATTTTAGGTCCCGCCCCAAACCTACTGAGTCAGAAACTCTGTGGGTGGGGCCCAGCAATCTGTGGCTGAACAAATTCTCCAGAGGATTCCGTTGCTCACTCAAGTTGAAAAACCAATTGTCTACACTAATCTGGACAAAAGCAGGATTGTCTGCTTCCACCTTGGGGGTGGCTTTTTTACTCAGCTCTAGCTCCTGAGACCAATGTGAAAAGCCGGGCAGTGTACTCTGAGAAAGCTTCTGTTTTCGTGATAAAATGAAGAGAGGCATCCACTCTATATCACATTTATGTCTTATGCTCCCCTTTCTCACATACTTGTTGGCAACAATTTCATGCTGAATTTCAAGTTTACTGAGCAACCTTGATCTAAACATTTAACCTCTCTATTCTTTGGTCTTCTCACCTAAAAGTTGGAATATCAGCCCCCCAAGTTTCAGATTTGTAAAACGGGATGAACTTTGCTTAGAATCACTGGGGTAAGAGATAAGTGAGACAGCAGTATCTAAGGCTGCCGGTGCTCCTAGAACAAGATAGCAAAAATCTGTCCACCAGCAAAGAGCCTGGCGGGGCAAAGGGCACAAGCATCAAACACTTGCTGCCTCACCACATTCAAGCCTGGATGCCCAAACCAGCGGGCCCTGCCCAGCCCTGAAGCAGAGGAGTTTGGGAATAAGGATCAACGGGCTCTGTGGAGTGGAGCCAATCACCCTCCAATTTCATGGTATATAAGGAATAGCCTGAGATGATGACTCAAAGAGGACAGTAACTTACATTTCTCCAAGAAAGGCACAAAAGGCTCTTCCTGCTCTAGGGAAGGAAGAAGCAGGTTTACTTTTTAAGAAAACCTTCAGGAGGTTTCCAAGAAAGATGAATGCTAACAGGAAAGCACACAGCCAAAGCCATAAGGAAGGTGAGAATGGAAGAGTGGCTATAAGAGGCACAGAAGAGGGGGCTCAGGGCACTGGGCTACTTAGGGGGCGGCTGGGCTGAGTGAGCCTTTCTTCTGAAGATGAGTGCTGCCCTCCCCTGGCCTGAACAGAACACAGCCCATGGGGTGATGGCAGAGGGGCCTGGCGCATCCTCAGACCCTGCCACAGGGCCCGTTCTCCCGCAGCTTCCCATCCGGGACTCTGCTTTCTTTTTGTTAGATTTGACTCACTTTGAAAAGTAGAAAGACCCTCCCCACCCCCCTTGAATTATTTCCCTTTATCTGGCAAAGAAAGAGCTTTACTTTAAATTTTCCTTTTAAATTTTAGAAAGTATAGAAGTCAGAATGGTAGAATTTTTGAACTGAAATTCTAAAAAATCATGCAGCTCCCTCCCACCACCTTTTAATCTAGTTTGCTGGGTTTTAACCTTCCGTTAGAAGGGAAGTAGTTTTCCACACCCACCCCCACCCCTCTCCCACCTTCCCTCCTGAAGCTGAATGTTAGTAGCTGCCACTTACTCTCAGACATCCCTGCTCGGCAGCTCTGGGGCGGGCAACTCCGCCACCCTGGCCCGTTTGCTGAGTTCTTCACCAGGCGGCTCCTCAGCTGCTTCCAGTTTGCGTTTGGGGGATGCTGGGCCGCCACTGGGTAGTGGTCTTGGGCCTGTGGGGAAGCAGGTCACAGTGTCACACAGGCTGTGTGTAGATGACTTGAAACCTTGAAGTGATAGCTCTTTAAAGGCAGCCCTCTGCAGTCCTGTGAGAGTGTGTGGTGACAGAGCTGTCACCAATGCAATGTGGCTCCTCAGGCCTAACCCCTGCCCTTCCTTTCGGCAATGACCTCGCCAGGAAACATTCAAGGAGAGCACAACCAGGCCTGCTGGGAGCAGAGCCAGCTTTTGAGCCCCAGACCTCCGGGCTCCAGGCCTGATTTGGCCTGTCTGCTGTCCTTGCTCTGAAGGTGAGGAATTCCCTCTGCGACCCTGGATGTGCCTCCTGAAGCAGGAATGAGCACTGTCCTGGCCAGCCTTGCTGAGCAAACTAGAAAAGGTGTTGGAGTTCTTGCCAGTCTCACCTCAGTGATCCTCACCCCAGAGCCCAGGGAGGAGGATAAGAATGTGGCAAGTCTACTCTCCTTTCCTGCCACCACTGGGCCCCGCTGCCATCGCCTGCCTTCTAGCCTCCCTGGACTCCTGCCCACACTGTCCCGCCCCACAGCAGGCAGAATGCGCTTTGTAAAACATAAATCAGATCATGCCCCACCCTGCTGACCACCCATCAGTGCCTTCTCAGTGTATTGATGACAGAATCGGAATGCCCCTCGTGGACGCCACGCCTACACAAAGCTACTCCTGCTGCATCTCATCCTCATCGCTCTCATTCCAGATCCCAGCTCCTCACTTAGGACATGCCAGACGCACTGGCCTCCCTACTTTTGTTCTTTGAATGGACTAAGCTCATTCCTATCTCAGACTTTTCTTTCTTTTCCCCTTTTCTGGGAAAGCTCTTCTCTGTTCTTGGAAAGGCTGGCCCTGCTCACTACTTGATTTCTATTGAGAGAGGTGCTCCCTGATTACTCCGATCTAAGCTAACCCAAAGTAATCCCCTGCCCCAGCCTCTCTCTTATCAGGTCACTCGATTTCCTTTTCCCAGCACTGTCATCTGAGATGATCTGCATGGCTCCTTTACTCCGTCTGCCCCAGGGACACTAGAAGCTCCACTGGGGCACAGATTCACTCTGGCCTTTGTCATCAGCCCTCAGTGACGGAGCTGGGGGTGGTCCTGAGTGCTCTCGGGATGGGCAAGGCCGCCACAGGCCAGCTGCTACTCACCTGCACCGCTCATGCTCCCAGTCTGGCTGGAGCTGGGCTCTGCCACCGGGTTGCTGAGGTCTTCCATGCAGGACGGGACGGACGCCAGCAGACCTGGGAGAGAGGCAGGACACACTCTCACAGGACTGCAGAGGGCTGCAGGGTGAAAACGAGGTGGGGGTTCTGGGCCATGACCCTGAGGTTCCATCTCGTCCCTGATTACTCAGAGGCCTGATCCAGCCCAGTGTGTAGTGTCCTGTGCCCCAAAAGTCAAGTCAATGTAACAGCCTGGCAGACAGCACTGTCTCCCTGGACAGATATCTGGAAATCCCTCTCTAGGCCCCCCGAGCCTGCAGGTGCTGCCCCTCCTTTCAGTGACCTGGGAGCTGGCAGGGGAGTAGGGGCTCCTTACAGAGTCCCCGGTAGCGAGAGAGCTGCTGGTAAATCTGCTTCATTCGCTCAATGTTGAGCCGGCTGGTCTCCGCGTGGTTGACGATGGGCCGTGGGTAGTCCACACCGATGATGCACTTGGCTGCCTTCTGAATCGACTCGGGGGCATTCCAGGGCTCATAGATGTATCGAGAGGGGAACCCCTTCAATTTGGGCAGGTATCGCCTGAAACACACACACCAGACAACCCATCAGAACACAGGACCCTCCTTCAAAGGGTCAAGGGTATCCCATCCTAGGAGGAGGCCACAGTGGCCAGTGGCCAGAGAGCTGGTCTACATCCTCACCTGATGTAGTCGCCACTGGGGTCTGTGCGGCGGCCAAAGCCCACAGGGCAGTAGCAGTGGAAGAACTGCTGGAAGAAGGCACTGCAGGACAGCCACATCCAGCTGCCCGCGTTCACGCTGAAGTCTGCGTCCAGGAGCAGCTCATCAAACACCTAGATGGGGCGGGTGGGACTTCAACTGACCTGGGTACCAACTGCCATGGTTCTCCCCAAGCCACTACATGCCCCGCGGAGAAGAGCCAAAGCCCTTCTGCCGGAAGGCTGGGAGGGGATATCCTGGACCCAGGGATCCCACCCCACCCCCCACCCCAGAGGGGGTGCCCTTGTCTGGGCCCCACGGAGAGGCACTCACCCGGACCCCGCTCTCCCAGCTGACCCAGAGGTCTCCGCGGGTGAGGAAGCAGGCCACGGCGTGCCGGGCCAGGTGGTGGATCCAGCCCTCCTGCCTCAGTTGGGTCATGATGGCGTCAATCCAAGGGAAGCCTGTCTTGCCGTCGGCCCATTTGGCCAGGGCCTCAGGGTTGCGGTCCCAGGGGATCTGGATGCAGATGGGGTTCCCCTCCATGCGGTCAAACCTGGGATTGTTGGTGGCTGCCGTGTAGAAAAACTCTCGCCACAGGAGTTGCCCAAAGAGGGAGAGGGGGGGTGTGCTGTTCCGCTTCACCTGGGGGTGGGAGGAGCCCGTGGATATAAATGCTTGCCCAGCTCTCATCATGTGTCCCCAGACCTCTCCCACAAAGGAATTTGGAGCTTCCATGAGCCTGGTTGCTCCAAACTCCCTAGACATGCGAGGGACTATCCTCTCCCAAGCATGTCAATCAGCGGGCCCTGAGTTTGACATGCTTGTGATGTGCACAGTGTGCCCACAGGCTGAACCCAGGCCAGGCTGTGCCCTGCTCTGAGCAATGGGAATGGCTGCAGAGAGGTGGGCAGAGGAAAAGGATATCACTGCCGAACTCCACACTGGGAACCAAACTCCCCAGACTGGTTCATAATCCTCATCCTCAGGGGCCCATGTGGCTCTGCTTTCTAGAATGTCCAAGGGATTTTCTCATCACCGTGCATAAAAACTGCTCAGTCTAGATTTTGGTTATATAAATTATATACAATAGACTGGATCTGGGACCATGAGGAAATTAGAAGGTCAGACCTCCAAGCAAATAATGACTTTCATAAAATCAGAAAGTTACCCACTAAACCATCAAAAGCCACCCTGTGCCACAGAATCCGATATTGGCAAGGACGGGACAATGTGAAACAACGCAGATACTGAATAGTTGTTGTGCTGCCCACTCTGTCTGGGGCACTACCACAGGATCTGCCTACCATCTGTATGGCACAACCTGCATGCAGCCCTCCAGGCCACCTCATCACTGATGAACTTCCTTTTTGATGCTCTGGACACAAGCCACTGTGCTCTTCAGCTGAGGATGGGCTCAAGCCTCGTCCTCCTGTCCCCCACTGCCCTCCCTCCCCCGCCCTGCTTGTCCCTGTCCACCTGCTGCCAGCAGATCTGCCACCTCTATGGACACACTGAGGTTGGCTTTCTGCCTGTCCTGTTCTACTGAGGTACCTCAATTTTATGTGGATCAGCAGTCTGGGTTGTGCTCAGCTCCGCGGGTTCTTGAATGTGGTCTCTTCCCGACCTTCTCTGACACAATGCTCACTTAAGCCCCTCCAGGATCCACAACCCAGTCCCCACCCCCAGGACTGGAGGCAAGGCTCCTTTTTTGGGTGACTGCATTGCCTGGAAGGCCCTGACCCAAGCTGCCGCAACTGGGAGCGGCTGGGCTGCCCTCACTGTGTGCTCACCTTTTTATACAGGTCCCACAGGCGGTAGTAGAAGAGGCGGCAGGAGAGGCAGCCAAAGCGCAGGTAGGGGCTGAGGCCTGTGGGGCTGGCCAGCAGGGAGTTGGCGTTCATTCGGGGTCTCTCATAGTTGGCAACCCAGGCCTGCATCAAAAGAGAAGGTGAAGAAAGGAAAGGCCTGATGTCACAGACGAAAAAACCGAGGCACCAGGTGGTTAAGGTCACAGAACAGAAAACCAGGAGCCAGGACTTGAACTCTGTACACATTTCACCCCTTCATGCTAGTAGAAATTTCGATGGGACCACCATTAGACCAAACATCGAGGCCCAAGTGCTTGTCCTAACTCTGCTATTTAACTTGTGGGATGATGGTGCACAAGTTTCCTTTCTCAGCTTCATATCTATTCAATGAGAACACATTTCCCACCTCCTGAGGATTAAATAAGATGACAGACATGAGAGAATTCTGTAGGCACAGAATGGTCTGTGATTAAGCAAGAGAAAGGAAAAAAGGCTTCCACTTTAAAGAAAAAAAATATTCCACTCATGTCATAGGACTGCTGAGGCTGCTGCTGCATTGGGGCTATAAACCAGCTGCAGGGAGCAAGAGATGAAGAGCTGACTACTCTGTCATAAGCACCCTAGTGCCAGGGGGTGGGAGCCAGGTGCCAATGGTAAGGAATGCCTCCAGGACCTTGACCCCTTTCCTTCCCCTTGCTGATTCCTACTTCACTGGGAGGCGTGCCTTTGTTCTCTGTGTCCAAGCAAATAAAAATCCATGCCTTGAAGAGGACCCAGCAAAAGGAGGGGGACACATACACACAAAATAATTGACCTTAGGGACTTTCCTGATCCAATACCCTCTTAGGAAGGATCCTAAGATGAAAGAAAGCAATCTAACAAAAGTTTTAGAATCACATCGAATGAGACTTACTCTACCACTTACTGTGTGACTTTAGGCAAGTTTCATAATCTAAGACTTAATTTCCTAATCTACAAAATAGGGAGCTGAACACCTGCCTCATAGGGTTTTAGAAAAGATTAAAGTAATGCAAGCAGGTACTTAACCCAGATCTGCTCAGCACAGTGTCCAGCAGGTGGGAAGCACCCACAAATGGTCGCTGCTATGGCCATGGGGAAGACTTTTTATTTTTCAATGACTTTGAGCTGAGAGGCACCAAGACGTGAATCTACCCCATGCTCCCCACTGCATGGGTGCTAGCATCTGAAGTTCTGGGTCTCAGAAACGGGGACCATACCTTCCGTTCCAAGTGCTTATCCAGGCGGGCCAGAGCTTCTGTCTCTCCTCCTTGCCAAACAGCTGGGCCAAGTCCTTCAGTGGGGAACCCTACAGGGGAGGAGCGGGTCAGAAACCTGGAGGTCAGCCTTTCCAGTGTTGGCTCAGCAGGCACCTTGGTCTGCTCTTTGAGCTTTGCAAGAACTGAACCGTGGGGTTCTTGCTGCTACTGGGGCTGAGGTCATTCTTAACGTTCCAGTGCTTTCTAGGTCATCCTGGTTCTCCTCCCACTGTGACTTTTCCTCTCCTCTCCTTTGCCTTACCACCCCAGCTACCCTTCCTTCCAGGCAGATGAGAGCAATCCTGGACTACTCGCCCTTTCAGGTTCGCTGACAACTGCAGTATTTAGGTGAGAAAGCCAACTTTGTTCAGATACAAAAGGGGGGGGGCGGAGGATTTGGGGAGATAGGGGTAAGGGAAAAAGGGTGTTGTAGTCAGTAACCCGAGAGACTGAGAGACCCTCCCCTTCAACAGAAGCAATCTTAGCTCTTTTGGTACTGAAAGCCCACCGATGCCAGCACCAGACTGTGCCTACATCATTTGAGAGGGAAAAGTACAAAAAACAGAAGCATCAACTAGAAACATAAGATTATTTATGAGTGTGTGTGTGTGTGTAGATTACTCATGTGTATGAACAGAAAAAAGACCAGAAGGACATATTCCAAAATTAACAGTGGTTACCTCTGAGTGATCAGAAATAGTGATTGTTATCCCCATTTTCATTTTTATGTATTTTCTAAATTGCCTATAATAACATGCATTTCTTTTACTAAGACGAGAAAAAACAATAGGTATTTCACAAAGAAGGAGGCGCTGGCCTAAGAGGCAGGAGCACGTACCCAGCTCCTCCAGGGAGGGCACGCCGTAGGTTTCGTCATGGTTCTCCTGGATCTCGGCCGGGCAGCTCTCCATCTGATGTCTGGTCACGGAGGCCACAGGTTTCTTGGGCAGCTCCATGCGGCTGATGATGGCCTGGAAGCGCTTGTAGGTAAGTGGTGGCTTCTGTCCGTTTAGCTCAATGATCCTGGGAATCCCAAAGTACACTTAACGTCACTCACAGGCCTTTCATTTCAGGTCCCTGCCCACCCAGATAAGAAGAGCCTAGCCCCAGCTGGTTTGGCTCAGTGGATAGAGCATCGGCTTGTAAGACTGAAAGGTCCTGGGTTTGATTCCAATCAAGGACACATACCTGGGTTTCGGGCTCAATCCCCATTAGGGAGGGTGCAGAAGGCAGTAGATCAGTGATTCTCTCTTATCATTGATGTTTCTAGCTCTCTCTCCCTCTCCCTTCCCATCTTTTCCTTTTTCTTTTTCTTTTTCTTTTCCTTTTTCTTTTTTAAAAAAGAAGAAGAAGAGCACAGACTTCAAAGGCTTGGAGGGCACCTTTCCTTATCTGCTCATAGGTCCTACCCCTAAGTAGAAAGGAGAGGCAAGGGCAGTTATGTCTCCATTTTACCAAGAGGGAAATGAAGCCCAAAGAGCCGGAATAGGCGCCTCAGGTAAGGGAGCAAGGCAGGGCCAAAGCTGGGACTCAATCCCAGGTTCCCTGGTCGGCGTGGAGCCGCCTAAAGACAGACTGACCAGATCTCTCTAATCTCAGAAACATCCCCATTAGCCATCTTGATACTCGTCCTGGTTGTCCAAGCCATAGGAATCCCTGTGGACCTTCCTCTATATCCTGGCAGAGTAAGCCTGAGGAAGTTCTTTGATAAGGGCTGTAAATGTGTTCCTTTGTGGGACAATCATTCCCTTGTTGACCCGCATTTTCTAGAACAAAGAGGTGCAGAACAGCCTCTCCCCACTAAACCAGAGACTGGGGCTGAGGTTATTAACAGCAACAACTAATACTTAAAGGGTATTTTGCAGTATTTTTTCTTTTCCTTTTCTTTTTAAAAAATATATTTTATTGATTTTTTACAGAGAGGAAGGGAGAGGATAGAGAGCTAGAAACATCGGTGAGAGAGAAATATCGACCAGCTGCCTCCTGCACACCCCCAACCGGGGATGTGCCTGCAACCAATGTACATGCCCTTGTCCGGAATCGAACCTGGGACCTTTCAGTCCGCAGGCCGACGCTCTGTCCACTGAGTCGAACCCGTTTTGGCTTGCAGCATTTTTTTCACAAAAAAGAGAAACATAGCTGTACTCAGGTAATAAGAAAAGATATAGGAGAGTGGAGAATTGAGGCTGTTTATATAAAGATGAATTGGGATGGGTTAGAGCCAGATTCCCGGGGCTGTTGTTGGCCAAGAAGCAGCTTACGCAAACCAACTGGCTGGGTGAGTTCATTTCTCAGTCCGGCGCTCCCTCTCCTCCGCTAGTGGAGCTCTGAGGCTGGCTGCAGGCCCTGCAGTACCTCCCCACTCCTCCGCACGTGGCAGGAGGAGGAGTTCCACACCCAGCACCTCCTCCAGAGAGCTCAGCTCACGTGCAGAGCTGTGTGACCTTCTTCTGGCAGCTACCCACTGGGTTGGGGAGAGGGAGGTGGGGAGAAGCAGCGCTGGCTTGGCAGCAATAGCAGCAGCAGGAGGGTGACAGCTCTGCAGGGAAGGGGAGGAAAGGGTTTCCTCCTAGAATCTCTGAAAGCACAGAGGCCTGTCCCCAGGGAAGGAGGCCACTCTAGTTATCAGCTCTCTGCAGGGATCGCTAAATGTCTGATCTGGAAAACCAGATAGTCCGGGGAGCCCAGGGAACTGGTACCGGGTGCAGAAACTGGACCTCTAAGAACAGAGATCCTATGGGAGTGGTAACATTTGTGTCCACTGAGGTCAGAGGGCAGCCTCTGAGGAGCAGGGCTGGAGCTGGGAGTATGAGGGGTGGATGGGACTGGAGCATATTAGGAGCAGGTCTGTGAAGACCTTCAGTGGGGATCCTCACCGCTCCATCTCTTGGACCTTAAGAGCCTCTGCACACAAATCAGGTAAAGCTCTTCGTGACCTGTTCTAAAAGGCAACTCTGGTCCATTTTCCTCCAGCTTCTACAAAACTCCATATGTCAGGTATTAGGTGGCTCTATTGCTAAACTGCCCTGAGTTCTGCTCAGCAAGGGCACAAATCACCAACTAACCCTGGGGCCTATCTCTTACCTGTCCAGGTCATAGAGAGTATGAGAGTTCTCAGTCACCACCTCCACACCAGCCTCCTTGGCCATCTTCATGATGGCGGCATCCCGCTCTTTCCCAAAAGGTTCAGAGTCATATTCAAAGGTTAAGCGGGTCACCCCCCATTCCTGTGGAAAGAGAATCTGTTACACGAAACACTGTATGGGGAGGAGGGGGAAGCTGGGTGCTGGGAGCTCAGAGCAAGTCTGGAGACCTGTCAGAATAGGCTGCAGAAAACCCTAGAGACAGTGATTTGAACTGAAAAGTAAACCACGCGAGGTTCACAAGGTTTGAGGACAGGCCTTTGAGGTGAGGCCAATGGCACAGCCCCTCTTGAGCCAGAGGCTAGTGGTCTCTGTGGAATCAGGAGAGGTGGGTAGCCCTGTGCACTTGCTGTATCCTTGCAGTAGGAGAATGCAGCAGGAAGCTAGAAATACATTGCTCTCAGGGGAGCCCTGTCCCAGCAAGAGGCACTGACTCACTGGTGGAGACAGCGGAGGATGGGATTGCCTCCTCCCTCCTGCTGGGCAGGCCTTTCCCAGAGCTCCTCCCAGCCCTGCAAACTCCTGGCCTAGTTTTCTTGGCAGACTTGTACTATGTGTAGTGTTCTAATGGTTTCCACAGCAACACTCCCGAGGCCAGCAGCAAACACAGCTAATAAACCCCAGCTCTCAGAGTCGGGGAGGAGGAACAAGCCTTAGTCCAGAGGTCACAGAAATCAAACCAGTCAGGCCACATGTTTAAAAAAAAAAAAAAAAAAAAAAAAGGGAATTCTTTTCTCAGTATGAACTTTTTTTTCTGATAGAAATTTCTAGATTTTCTAGCAATGTTGAAAGACAGTTTGCCATGTGAACGGTTGTACAGATAACCCACAGAGCATGCAACTTAGCGAAAAAGAAAACTATATGCTAACCAAAGTCTCTGGTCATGGTGCATTAAAACTGTCAACCCCTTGGCGCAAATGTCCTGCCATGTACAGGCTGGCCTGGTCCTGACTCAGTCCTGCCTGGGTTGTGGGTCCTGAGCAGGGTGGTTATCCTTGTCCAAGGATAACAGCACTAAACATTTATGAAACCCTACTGTGAGCCAAGTACCAGGCTTAGCAGTCCATACAGATTACATTCTTAAAAACTCATTACCTTGTAGATAACAGTGAAGTGCTATTAGATGAACCTTCTCCAAGAAGCCTTCCTTGACTTTCTCCTTCAATATGATTCTCCTGCACCTTACCCTTTTCCATCACAGCGTTTATTATATGGGAGTGAGGTTGCCCCATATTTCTTTTTACCCCATTAGAGTGTGAATTCTCAGAGCAGAAACCATGCTGTCTCATTTATCATTACCCTAGTGCCTAGTATGGGGCGCAGTACATAGGAGAAGATCAAACGATATTCTTTGAATGACTGATCTGTGTTTCTGGGCTGTGCTAGGTTGGCCTTAGCGGTGCTGGGAGAGAGGAGGACGATGCAGAGAGAGATGAGTGGCAAATGCTTAATGGTGTGGATGTTAAGAACACAACTTTGAGTCAGGGAGCCTGGGCTCGAATCCTAGATCACCATTTCCCAGTTTCATGACCATGAAGTTACAGTTTCCTCAATCTGTACAGGAGGGAGAGCAGCACTTCCCTCTTAGGGCTGCTGTGAAAAATAAATGAATTAACGTATGTAAAGCACTTACGTAAAACAGTGCCTGAGTCATACTCAGCCCTGAATGGAAGGTGGCTATCATCAACACGCGTGCTCTGTATATGTGCGTTTGTGGGGAGGTGCAGGGAGGTGACGTGAATGATTAAGTGTTTACTGAGCTGCTTGCCTGGACATTAAACCTTTCTTCCCGTCTTGTCCCCCAGAAAGAGGAGGAAGGAAGTTGGGTGGAGAGGGGCCTAAAAACAATGCAGTTGCTGAGGATGAGGGGAGACTACCCTAGAGCCCCCTGCCCATGAGTACTTTTGCCTCTGTTTGGACTTTAAAATGAGCTTTGTAAAGGGACTGGGGGAGAAGGAGAAGTGGGCTGGCTATCTGATATAGCAAACAGGCCTGTGTGGTACCCACTTGAGGATGTGATCAGCCACTTACCCCGGGGGAAGCAGAGAAGCTCCCTCAGAAAGGCTGCCTCTTTTCCCAACTAGCAGAGCAAAGGAGGACAGGAAATGCGCCCCTTGCTGAACAGGAAACCTCGCCCTCAAACTCCTGGCCTGGGAAGAGCTCTAATAAATCTTGCAGGCTTGAGCCAAGGAAACATCCACGGAAGCATCCGGGGTGGAATAACTTGCCACATCCCATGTCTGGACTGAGCTGGGAACTTTCCAACAAGACACTGGTTACACGGAATTTTTTCCTTAACACAGTTTCATTCTGTCGGCAAGCTGACCGGCTGCCTTTGTTCCAACTCCTTCACCAGCGGTCAGACCAGCCCTGACTGTTTCCATTTCCTCAGTCACAGTATCATCTCTTTTAGTGTGGGGGAAACCCTAGGGAGCAGACTCTCACTGTCTTCTCTCAGACTCTGCGCACTTACCTTGAATAGCCTTGGGAACACGTCCGCTGGCTGTCCCCGGACTACAAACAGGCGGGAGTTCAGTTTCCTTAAACTTGTGTCCAGATCTTCCAGAGACTGAAGTAAGAACCTGCAGAGCCCACAGAGGCCTTGTTAGTGGTGACATCATACAGAGTGGCTCTCTTTCCTAACCAAGCAGAAGATGCTGGCCCATTGTTTATGCCAAACAAGTAGCATCATTAGTACCAGGACCGAGAGACCAAGGGTTTAGGTCAACAGTGATATTGTAGGAGATCAACTGAAATCCTGGTTTTGCCCCCTACTAGCCACACTAGCCACATGACTTTAGACAGTTACTGAACCTCGTTAGCTCTTTTTCTAACCTTAGTGCCTCTTTAACATCAACTATAGAATTGTTAAGAAAAGAAAAATAATTCATGAAAAACATTTAGTACAGTGCCCGGCATAAAGAAAACCTGGATTAAAGCTGCCCTTCTACTCTTGTTTCTCTGTGATCAGAAGCAAGTCACTTTCTTCCCTCAGGCCCTGTGTGTAAATATCCACTCATCACAGGGCTATGAGAATATAGGAGAACGGATGAGAAAGTCATCAGAAAAACAAGTGCAATCGTGCAGTAGGGAACGCTGAGGTGCGATTAGCAGACTCTGCATTAGCTCTGAAAATCCTACCTACCCGGGTCGCACAGATGTCCTGCCTTCTGCGGCCATGCTTTGGGCTGCGTGCATGTCTACTGCCACAGCCCCCCAGCCTGGGCGGGGTCCCCACTTCCCAGGGTTTTGTTTGGCAGGTGGTTCACTTTCCAGGGTTCTGGCCACCAGGTTCTCATCCAGAGGGAAAAGGCCTTAGAAGGTACCCCTTTACAGGATATCCTCGCATGCTTTTGGGGAGGGAGATTGGGTTGGGGTAAGAAAGTCCAGATACTCAAGTCACCTAACCTGAGCTCTGGATCATCAAGGGGAAAGGAAAGAAAATTAGCATTTGTTAAATGCTTTCAGTGGTTTAAATTTTTTATTATTTATTTATTGTTAATTCTCACTTGAGGATTTTTTTCATATTTTTTTATTTTTTAGAGAGAGCTGGAGAGAGGGAAAGACAGAGAGAAACATCAATGAGAGAGATGTTTGGTTGCCTTCTGCCTGTGCCCTGACCAGGGTCTGAGCCAGGAGCCTGCAACTAAGGTACATGCCTTTGACTGGAATGGAATCTAACCCGGGACCCTTTTGTCCACCGACCAAACCAGCTAGGACTAAAATTTTTTTATATGACCACAGAATCAACTTTCTGAAAAATTCCATCAATATACCTTATAATATGTTTTTTACTTTTAAATAAAATGAAATTAACATTTTAAACAGATAGCAATACATATAGTTCAAAGTTCAAGGCACAAAAGGGTACAAAGTAAAAAGTTCCTCCCCCTGAGTACCTAGGAATTTAATTTCTCTCCCCAAAGGTGACCAATGTTATCAATGTTATTATATAATTGACTTGCATTTTAAGTGTGTTTTCTTTTTTAATTCCCTCAACATATTTTGAAGGGAAATATTATCCTCTTTATAAATGAGGAAAATGAGACACAGAGAGGGTAATTAATTTGCTTAAGATCACAATTATTAAGTGACAAAGCTGTGATTGGAGACTGTCGGTCAAACAGTTTTCTTCTCTGTCCCCCATTTCTAAGGCTTCTTAGTGACACAAACACCGCTCCAGGAGCTGAGATTCTGCAGGCCCTCGTGAGTTTGGAGTCCCTCTCTCTGACAAACACAAACCTGGCTACAGGCAATGCACTGACATTCTGATCTTCCTCAGGAACTAAGCCCTGACCCGTCAAACTCCTGCTATCTACCCCTTAGCATTTCCCACCCAATTCTGACAACAATGGGAATCACCAGATTTTATTTTGAGCACAGCAAAGCCCTGTGTCTCTGTGCCAGCACATCACAGACCCCAACTATAGACATATGGTTAGGGTAAGGAACTCCAGATACACAGCAGCTGTTCCTAGGCTGCCAACTAGAACCCGCCCTCGCTGCTGCCTCTGATGTCACCAAGCAGCACTCCCACAGGGTGAATGCCACAGACCCACATTCCAGGAGCTGAGTCCAAAGCATCATCCTAGACAGACAGCGTGCAGAGACGCTCTGTGGGCTTGTGATGGGAGACGGATCCCCACGGGGTTGCGATGGGAGACTGGCTGAACGGTGTGTATGAAAAGCCAAAGCCCTGCCTCTGTGAATTTCTGTTTTTGAAAAGCTGACACCCTCAGAAAGGAAAGCTGAGAGACGAGTGACGCACTTGCACTGGCCTCCTCCCAAACCTCACCACTCCTCTCGGGAGGAAAATAAGAAAACCACGTACACAGCCTCATGCCACCTGAAACCTGGGCCCTGCCACACAGAATGCCTAGAGATAACTGGTGACAAATTACACATTACACAACCCCAGGACAGACTGTCCTCTGTCTGGGGCTCCCAGGGATTTCCTTGCCATGCACTTTGGGGGCCTCTCCCTTCACAGTCCATCAGGTCGCCTAGGACTTTCACTGGAAGATGTAAATAAGGCTGATATGCACTTTTGAAAGCCATCTTCTAGCACCTTCTATAGAACTTTATTTCTAGACTTCATGTAATAAAGAAGAGATTCCTGGCAATACCTCTCAAGTACAGATAACCTCATGAGAGTCCTTTTCATCTTTGACAAGAGATATCTATAGCTGAGGCAAGGAGCAGAAGGCCCAACTCTGCTAATAACGATGATAATATTAGCAACAATGAACATTTAAGGAGCATTTTCAATAAATGAAGCACTATTCTACTTGTGTAACATACATGACCTCATTTTACAGATGAGAAAACAGGCAACAAAGAGAGTAAGTAATTTGCCCAACTCAGACCTAAAAAAATGGGTTAGCATCTTTTTTTCTTTTTTTTAATTTTTAAAAAAAATTTTTTTTGTACATTTCTTTTTTTTAAAAAATATATTTTATTGATTTTTTACAGAGAGGAAGGGAGAGAGATAGAGAGCCAGAAACGTCGATGAGAGAGAAACATCGACCAGTCGCCTCTTGCACACCTTCCACCAGGGATGTGCCCGCAACCAACGTACATGCCCTTGACCGGAATCGAACCCGGGACCTTTCAGCCCGCAGACCAACGCTCTACCACTGAGCCAAACCGGTTTCGGCAGCATCTACCTTCTTAACCACCAGGCTCCGCTGTCTCTTGCTAGGACTCACTGCCTGAGCACTGACTGCCCAGGTATGCTGCCAAGGACCTTTGCTTCTCTGAGGATCAACATCGTGACCCACCCAGAAACTTGGTGAAATGCAGACTCTCAAAAGCTCCATCCCAGACCTCCAGGATCAGAATCTGCATTTTAGCAAGATCCCTGATAAATCCTTTGCACACGAGAGTTTCAGAAGCACTGTTCTAGAAAACAGAACCTGACTCCTAGCTCTGTTTATAAGGTGCCTTTCTTCTCTTCTCATTTGTTCCTACTAAACTTTCTCTCTTTGGATTCTGGTTTCTGCCTCTGCTTTGGCATTCTAGAAATATTATTACTTTCAAGTCCCTCTTTCACCAAGCCCTGCAGGGCTCCTCCAGGAATGGAGGCCTCAGGATGGCCCCTATAGGAGGAAACAAGCCTCAAGAAGCCCCAGCCTTCAGGCAGCTACAGCACCCCCTTTGAGGCTTGCCAGGTGACAGCTTTGCAAAGGAACCCAGAGCAGTGCTGCTACTGGACAAATGCTCATTGGGGCAGGTGTGTGCAAAGAAGCTTGGGCCTTCTGTGCTCCCTTAGAGCCTTCTCTCCACCTGGTCATTTTCTCTTTATTTCAGTGAGGGGGTTGCTTTAAAGAAAACTGGTCTGGGCTTTGGAGATGGCAGTGCTTGGGCTGGTAGCTCACCCTTGGCAGCTCCAAGCTGAGCTCACATGGTCAAAATTCAGGGCACATGGACCTGTGCGAGCAGTTAAAGCTCACCCTTTGGATCAGACATGTGCAACTGAATTACATTACATAAATGCTCTGGAGCCAGAGGCAGACAGAACTGAAGAAAACAAAATTGGCATTTTCAAAAATATAAGAGAGGACCCAGTAATTCATGACTCCATGGGGCAAGCTCTTTAGGTAAGACAGTCAGATCTTTGGGCTGAGAATGAGACAAGCAGATATTTAAGGAAGGCCTTCCTAGAGATGGCAGATTTTGTTGGTGTTGCCAGGGTTAAGCCCCACTTTGGGCACCATTAACACTGGGGTTCTTGTCACAACATTAACCTATAAATACGTCAAAGGTAAACAATAACGAGAACGGGTAGGACATATGAATACATCCTTGAAATAAATGTTGCGCCCTGAAAGGGACGGTATATATTTTTTGTAATCTTTATAATTTTTGTTTGTAAAATTTATAATTTTTTAATTCGATGTTTCCATTTTTTTGTTGGTACTATTTTCTATTTGTTTATAATTTTGTATTTTCCTTTGTGCTTTATATATAAATAAATGAAAAATATATATTTCATTTATTTTAATTAAGTATAAATAAAAAAAATAATATGAAATTACGTCCTCCATGCGTGACGTACTGACACGTCCTAGTGAAAAAGTAAGCACCGTTACAGGTTGCGTAATTAAAAAGGGAACTCCCCAGGTAACAGGTTAAGAAGGGGTTCAGCAAATGAGAAAGGCTGTGCGTAGATCAAGCAGGAGTCCAGAGACGAAAGATAGTTTTGAAAGGCATTAGGGATCAGAGGAGCTTCAGCTAAAGGAGCTAAAGATTCTTTGTCTCAGGACCCCGTGCTTTTTATTAACACAATTTGTCCTAAGGCAAGGTGTGAGACGGCAGGGCGGGGTGGGGATGAGCTCCCGACTCCACCCCGCAGGGCGGAGTTATCCCTAGCCCTCACCCAACCAATCAGGATTAGCCGAGGCAGTGACATCACCATCGACCTGAGTAAAACCCCTGGACTGGAAGAAGCTCGCTCTCTTCCGCCATGCTGCCGGCATGAGTGGGGGCCCATGCTAGCATGGTACAGGCTCTTTTGTTTATTGCATCGGACTCGGCTCCCTGGTGGTCCTTGGGGATCACGAAGTCTGGGCGTAACATATGG